TGCAAAAACAGTCTTAATGTGCGAGTGTGGTGAAAGTATTGAATGATGATGAAAGTATTTTCTTTTTGGGGATTTTCTTTCTTTTTTGGGTCACCCTGCCTCGGTGGGAGACGGCCGACTTGTTAAAAAAAAAAAAAAAAAAAAAAAAAAAAAAAAAAAAAAAATTCTATAACAGCCACTTCTCACCAAAGAAGTAATCCAAATAAGGAAAATTCATGCAGTCTCACTCATTATCTGTTTTTTTCTTACAGAACAGCATGGGCATCGTAAATTCAATGATATACAAAAATGCAACATTCCCACCCATCTTTCTGAGTGCAGGCAGTATACAGTATTTTCCACCTACAAAACTTTAATCCAGCTCACACATTAACCCTTTCAGGGTCCGTCCCGTAGATCAACGGCTTTACGTTGAGTGTCCAAACCGTAGATCTACGCCAAAATTCTAGCGCCGTCAAATTTAGCGCGAAAACGCTCATAGGCCTACATGTGAGAGAACGGGTCTGCGTGGTGGGTGTGCGCCATAAACAAAAAATCTAGGCGCCCGCATAGCATTGTGGGAATGCCGGCTCAGTTACCCTTGTTCACCATGCCTCGTCGCAAGTCAGCTCTCACTCCCCGGAAAATTGGGACTCTCCTCTTCCTATCTGATAGTTTTGACACTGATGGAAGTGGAAATGAAGACGAATTCCCTACGGCTTTGATCAGTTTAGTGATCAAAAGGAATGACCAGGATATCGATAATAGTGCAGAAAACCCTGACGATCCTCAACCTTCTACCTCTGGTGTGGGCACTCGTGACTCACGGTCGGTTGTTCCTCATCGCAAGAGAAAACTATTTTCGCGTGGCCAGGCCTCTGACTTCAGTAATGATGATGATAGTGACGTGGACTGTGATTTTATTGCGCTCGACGATCAATCGGAGTAGTGATTAGTGAAGAATCATATTTTACCAGTGAAGCGTCGGTATGTTCGCCGCCGCATGCGCTCGGGTAGTGTACCCTTGCTGTGCCAGGGGACGGGAGTACATCCCGGAGTACATCCCCTGGCCCAACACCAGTTTTAGGTAGTGATAGTGAGGATGATGTGGCTACACTTGGCATGGATAGACCACAGGCATCAGTGGATGGTGTTAGTGGTGATGGTAGTGGCACCGCCCTGCGTGATCACCAGGCCACGCTGGGACCACGGTGCGACTCCCTCATTCAAGGACAAAGCGGAGCGCCAGCACCAGCCCACCACAACCAAACCACCCGCACAACCAGCCTATGATGTCCAGTATCCACCAGCAAACCGTTATGTGGGATTGGCAGCAAAATCCCCAAATTTTGTTCCCAAGCCTCACCACTTTGATGATTCTCAAAGTGGGGAAATTTTACCTACTTGTCCCTTGGAACCACGGCCAATGAACTGGAATTCTTTGAATTATTCTTTGACCAGCCATTGATGGAAATTATTGTCAGGGGAAAGTAATAAGTATTTGAGTACCACCATGGCAAAAACGATTCTTATCACCCCAGTCAAGACTACACAGGTGGGAAAGAGATGACTGTTGCAGAAATGTATTTGCTTTTTGCAACAAAATAATGCTTATGCCTCACGTCTATAAGCATAATATAAAAGCTACTGGTCCACAGATCGGCTAATTTCTACCCCGGTCTTCAGTGAAATCATACCAGGTGAACAGGTTTATTTTTACTCTTACGTATGTTGCACTTCTCTGACAAAAAACCCGGCTGACGAAGTGACAGGTTATACAAGATTAGAAAAGTTTTCATATCTCAAACAAAAGTTCAGCATATACTTTTATCCATTCAAGAATCTTGTAAATTTTACGAGTCTTTGATTTTTTTTCAAAGGTAGCTGTCATTCAAGCAGTATATACCGAGCAAGAGGGAAACGCTTTGGTATAAAAAAATGTTTGTACTCTGTGATTGTGACAGTGGGCTGGTGTTGGATATTGTGTATACACGGGTAGTAAAACATTGAAAGATACCAAGATGTTATTGGGTATCTCAGGTGACGTAAGTGAGAAACATGATGGCCCTTATCTTGGGAAGGGGCATACATTATATACCGATAACTGGTACACAAGCCCATTACTCAGTGATTTCTGCGAAGTGAACAAAGACAGATGTGTGTGGCAAAAAGTGCGTTCTAATCGTTAAAAAATATGCCCAGGCTAAAGCAGGTGCTCGTGGTGATGACGTGCAGGTGTTTACTGCCAATGACATCATGGCATTACGGTGGCATGACAAACGAGATGTCACATTGTTGACAAAACCATTCACCGTAATGAAATGCAAGACGTGGCAAAGTTGATCGAGTGACTAATGAATGTATTCGAAAACCAGTGACAGTGATTGATTATACACAAAACATGCGCTTGGTTGACGAATGTGACATGCAGATTGGTTTTGTTGACTGTGTTCGTAAGAGTTACAAGTGGTACATGGGAAAATTTTCTTCCATCTCATGGACATTTCAATGCTCAATGCATATAATATGTACCAAATAAAGACTGGCAACAGACCACAGTATGGTGAATTTTGTTTTTTCTGTTGTCAACAACTCATAAAAGAAGTACCAGGTAACAACACCTGCTATACAACACGGTCTCGAATTCCTCAGGATTTACCCAAGTGTTTGAGGAGGGAAGGGGATCATTTTTATAATACAACTTCCTTCAACTCAGAAGAAATTTGCTCAGGGAAGAGATGCATCGTCTGGCACAACAAAGACAGCAACAAAGACGCAAAGACACTCGGTTTTGTGTGAGGGAAAGTAAGGTGCCTCTGTGCATGGGGCCTTGTTTCAAGGAGTTCCACAAGCTCCAGCAGTTCTAAAACCATGTCCAGTGATTGTAAATAGTAAAATATATGATAGACATTAGTAATATACAAGATTTGTGCATGTTTATTGTAATAAACAACAGTGGTAAACAATAATATGATAATAACTTTAGTGCGGTTATTGTGTTCAATACAGTGAGTTTATATATATACATTATATACAGTATTGGTCTCTCAGGCCCCAAATGTTAGTAGGAATAGAAAAAAATTGGAAACGAAAAGAAAAAACAACAAAAACCGCAAAATAACGTAATGCGCGTATGTGGAATTCGTCGACGTTGCCGCCGCCACATCATTTTCGACAAACTTCTTGGCACTGTATCTCGGTAAGTACTGATCAGAATTTTTTTTTTTGTCTTATTACCTTCACAAAAATATGCTCTTTAATTCTGTAAGAAAAAATCAATTTTTTTTTTTTTCAAAATTTCTTGGACACTGGAGCACCACTTCAGATTTTGGCCTTGGACCCTGAAGGGGTTAAAACGTATTAAATGACTTCACAGATGTTATTTTGCTCATACTCCAAAAGCACAAAATCTAAAATGCCACTTGTCTTCAAACACTCACAACAGTTTACATAAATTTTAAATCTCAAGCACTCATGTGAATTTTGTTTTTAAACCACACTGACCATTTCCTGCCAAGCTACTGTGACCCAAAGGAAACACAGCAACCATTTTTTCATTCAGTAACTCTCTTGCCAAAAGAGAGCAGACATCACAAGTTCACATGATCATTAATGGCATTAATTACAGCAATTAAAGCACTGTTATTGCCTTATTAATCTTAAGTTTGCCCAAAATGCTCTGTATATAAAGAGGCTTTTGGCATATTCATCAAATTGTTACACTCCTTAGTACAGTGGACCCCCGCATAACGATTACCTCCAAATGTGACCAATTATGTAAGTGTATTTATGTAAGTGCATTTGTACGTGTATGTTTGGGGGTCTGAAATGGACTAATCTACTTCACAATATTTCTTATGGGAACAAATTCGGTCAGTACTGGCACCTGAACATACTTCTGGAGTGAAAAAATATCGTTAACCGGGGGTCCACTGTACAAACATGCATCATGCTAAAATAAAAATTGTTATTGGTATTGTTGTTGTTAATCCTTAGAGCATTAAGGAGTGATGTCTCATTTTTCCATTGCAGGTACAGTGAAAGTCTGAAAAAATGGGCCCCTATAAAGTGGATGGTGGATAGAATGGACAAAAAATGTTGGCAGACAAAGGCTCAACAGGTACGTACATTTAATGGGATGTTTGATTAAAATAGCCATGAAGCAGACCAAAACTGCTACATATATCAAAAGACTGTCCAGTCTAAAATTATCAAAAAAAGATAGAAAACCTCTTTAAGATATTCGAAGCTACCGTTATATCTAAAGAAGTGTCAGAATGACCACCGTCACAAGACTGCAGAATTCCTTGGAAAAACTGTTAAAGATATAGATCAATAGAACCAAGACTACTTCCTGTGTAATTCTAGTTTGGCTCATACCTCAACCACTCATACTTCATACTTTTATCCCTTATACCTCCACAGTTACAAAGCATTTATTTTACTTAAAACACCTATTTCTAATTTTCAATGTGAATCTCTAATTGGTATACATCTTTACTTATGCTGAATGTCTCTCAACTTGAAACAAGTTGTGTTCCTAGTTTTACAAATTTTAAACAAGCTGTTGTAAAGAAAACAACAGTCCAAAGGAAGGCCATGCTTCACACCTCAACCTATGGCTTAGCAGTTGCAAAACTAACTGCCTGTCTTGTTTGTAACTGGGGATATGTAACTTGGGACATTTGTAACTTAGGGACTCATCATATTTTAATACGAAAATATTGTACTCGACTCTTTCCCATGGGTATTTGGGACCTCTCATACGGCACATTCCATCCCTCTGTATCATAAGCTATTTACATATCAATGAATGCCACTTGTTTGCTAGAACCATTTCTGCTATCATCTACACAGAAAATGTCTTCATGAACATGTTTTATGAAGTATGCAAGGACAGAATGAGGTCCTTTGAATACTGGATTGATAAAATTTGCCAATAATGTATATCTGAAACAGAACAAAGCAAAGAATTCCTTATATGTATAGGATTAAATTCTAAACAAATATTAATTACTTACTGGAGTATCTCTGACAGCAACTAACTTGTCCCCAACACACACGCGACCGTCCACATGAGCCGCACCTCCCTCCATGATTTTAGTGATGTAGATACCATTATCACCAGGGATGTGTTGGTTTCCAATACCACCTGCAATGCTGAATCCAAGGCCTTTGTTTCCTTTTATCAACTCTACTTCCATGAGCACAACATTTGGGGGACGCTTGCGTCGTTTAACACACTGTAAAAAATGCATTAAGTAATTTTTTATGACTAAGTAGTAAATCCTCTGTAATACTTCACACACTGCAAAGCGTAACTAAATTAAAATGAAGATTAGAGCTACAAGTGCATCAACTAAAAAGTTTAGCGATAGTGTAAAGAACAGATAGATTAGATATCACACTACAAACAACCATCAAGTGGAGTAGCCCTAATGTACATTACTTGAACTTGAGAGTATTATGTCAACCCTCTATATATGATTATGACAGGCATCTGTATAAATATAACTAATTAATTTTGGTAAATGGACTCACACATGCAATGTTCCGAATTCAATGTATTTTAAACACACAGCCTGCACTGAAGAGATGAAATTTATGATGACATTGCAGTCCATCTTAGACCATTGACAAGTTACAATGAAGCGAGAAGTGAAGAAGGCCAGAATATATAAAAAATTTTTTTAACAAACTGGCTGTTTCTTACTAAGGCAGGGTGACCCAAATAGAAGAAACACTTTCACCATCACTCACTATCACTGTCTTGCCAGAGGGGTGCCAATACTACAGTTCAAAACTGCAAATATCCCCACCCCTCCTTCAGAGTGCAGGCACTGGTACTTCCCACTTTCAGGATTCACGTCTGGCTAACCGGTTTCCCTGAATCCCTTCATAAATGTTACTCTGCTCATACTTCAACAGCATATCAAGTCGTAAAAACAATTTGACTCCATTCACTCCTATCTAACACACTCATTCACACATGCTGGAAGTCCAAGTTCTTTGCACACAAAACCTTCTTTACCCCCTCCAACTAACCTTTCCTAGGACGACCCCTATCCTACAGATTTATATGCCCTCCAACTCATTCTATTTTCCTGGAGAAAAAGCAATTATATATATACAGTATAACAATAATACTTACACTATTATTATAAAGAATAAAAAAAATAACAAAAAAGAATTAAAAATAAGTAAATCAGAATAAATCAGAGTAAACCATTCTCTCTGCAAAAGTGAAGTGTAAAAACTAATTACAGTGCACAAAGAAGACATTTAACTATATCTTGATTAAACTAGAGAGCAATAACTTTGTTTCTAACAAGAGCTCTGAATAGTCTGTTAAAACTGTATTTGTGAATTTTGCTAAGAAAAAAAAATTACTCACCAAATGTACAGTATTACCAGCACGTTTAAGTGCATCAACTGCCGATGCATGAGGAACATTAACAACACTAACATCATTAACAGACACTATGACATCCGTGATCTGCAGTCGACCATCAGTGGCCGCTGCTCCGCCTGGTATCAGCTTGGTGATGTAGATGGAAGTGTCAGAACTGAAAATACACCAGATTAGAAAGAAGACATAAACCTCGCTGGCTGGTTGGTGGATATTCATTTCAGTGATATGCCACAAGTTCTCAGGCCCACAAAACACAAAGTACCATCAGCAAGGTCAAACTGATCTAAAAAGTAGTCAAATTATTCTAGGGTATTATTTTCATTAGTTGAAGAGGTACTGTATTATCATGTAGTAATTCTTAAAGAAGTAGCCCAGGTAACGACTACTCCCGTCAAGAAAATATATACATTATATACTGTGGTACCTCAGTATACATCCGCTTTGGAATAAGTCCAACTTGGTATACATTCCGTTTGTATGTGAAAATTTTTGCTTGGTATATGATCTTTGTTTGGAATAAGACTTGTGTGTTAGAACTTGTATGGGTCAAAATGAGTCATGACACTACCCGCTACCCTTGTTTACCTCTCTCTCGAGACAAAGCCACTACTGCCCACTAGTGTCAGTATGCCCACTGCTACCATTCAGTGAACAACCCGCACTGTAACTCTGAATTTTCATGTGATTTTGTGTTTTTTCGTATAAATTTTTAGAAAATTCATTAATCATTAACCAGGTCCATGGGTCTGGATGTGAGTGATGGTGATGTGGAGGAGTCAGTGGAGGGGCACAGGGAAGTGCTGACCACTGAGGAGCTGCAGGAACTTGAGAAGGAAAAGCACAAGACTAGATGGATGCACTCTCTTCAGGCTCGGAAGAGGAGACAGGTAGCCCCTACTTCAGTAAACAAGGAAGTTTTTGCCAAATAGATGGAGGTCAAAAAACTTTGCAGAGAAGTACCACCCCAACAAAGCTCAAACAAGCCGTAATAGCACTGTCCGGAATGACCAGACAATGTCACATTTCCGAAACATCCTGAGAAGGCAGAAGCAAAGTTCTTTGGATAGATTTTTAGTAAAAGTCAAACCTGATGAGCTTCAACCAGGTCCAAATAGGCAAGAGAGACAGAAAACAGAAGGGGACTCACCTTCCAAACAAAAACATTTCCTCCACCTCCCTTCTCGGCACTATGCTCACTAGCACTCGACTCTTTTCAGCAAAGTAAAGTGAGGTTAAATCTGCATTTATTTCATCTAATTCTTTTGTATTTATGTATGTAGTTTAGTATTAAGCAGTTTTTAAAACCGTACATATTTTAGTATTAAGTAGTGTTAAAATTATTTTATACAACCCCCCATCAAAGGATAATATGCCAATAACAATAGGGTTTTTTTTCATGGGAACGGATCAACCATTTTCCCTATATTTCTTATGGGAAAATTTGTTTGGTATACATCCTGTTTGGTATAAGTCCAAGGTCCTGGAACGAATTTAGGATGTATACCGAGGTACCACTGTGTGTGTGTGTGTGTATATGTATATAATGTATATATTTCAACAAGTTGGCCATCTCCCACAAAGGCAGGGTGACCCAAAAAGAAAGAAAATCAACAAAAAGAAAATACTTTCATCATTCAACACTTTCACCTCACTCACACATAATCACTGTCTTTGCAGAGGTGCCCAGATACAACAGTTCAGAAGCATACTATATAAAGATATATAACATACCCCTCCAAACTGCCAATATCCCAAACCCCTCCTTTAAAGTGCAGGCACTCTACTTCCCATTTCCAGTACTCAAGTCCAGCTATATAAAAATAACTGGTTTCCCTGAATCCCTTCACTAAATATTACCCTGCTCACGCTCCAATAGCTTGTCAGGTCCCAAAAACCATTCGTTTCCATTCACTCTCTAACACGGTCACACACTGAAGTGCATTTCAATAAATTTGTTAAGATCTTAAATCTCCACATGGTGTGAATTATGTTTCTTCAAACCTAATCATCAATATAGTATCTATTAAATAATATACAGTATATAAGGTAAATACTATCATACCAAATTAAACAAGCAACAGTTAAAAATCCTATAAAATTATTTGTCAAAAACTCTTCTGAAAGTTCCCTGAGGCCCCTAAGGGCATCTCAGTAATTATAAAAACCATGATGAAAGCATAAAGACATGAGCTGAAGGCAAACTGTTCAAATATGTTCCACAGTCAGTGGCATGCTACAAACATTGAGGGATGGAGGAAGGGGGGGGGGTGTCAGGAGATACTGCTAACAAATGGCAATATAGTCGTATTGTAGTAACAGCAGCAGTAGTAGCAATAGTAATAGCAGTAGTAGCAATAGTAATAGTAATAGCAATAATAGCAATAGTAATAGCAGTAATAGTATACTACTACTACTACTACTACTACTACTACTACAGAGCACTGATCAAGTAGGTCACACAGCACTCAGCCATAAAGAAATATATATATACAATTCACTAAAAACAAAGTTAAAATTAACAAATAATAAAAGCAAAAAACAAATGCTCAACATAAATAAGTTTAAACAGCCAGCATCAATTAAAACCCCATTAAATTACTAATATAAAAAAAAATCTAAAAGTTCACGGAGGTCCCTACAGGCACCCCAGTGAGCAGTCTCAAAGTGACCATTATTGAGGGAAGCACTAAACCCATATGGGGCATACAGCATCTGGGAAATGGAAGGTGATTAAATACAATCCAAAAGGAAGGAAGCCTCAGTTCCTTGGATGTAGAGCCTTTCTCTAGCATCAAGGCAATGAATTTAAAGGTTAAGCTGAATTAACTTATCGTATGATTTTCCAAAGGAAAACAAACAAAAATAAGTTAATATGCTGAGAACTGACCAAGAGTAAAATATACAAACACAATATACTGCTTCCCTCAGGGCAAGTTGACCTGTCTTCCCCTTCCCTGGATCGAACTTGATTGCCTCCCATTTCTCAGGCAATATATGACCCCTACAAGTTTAGTGCTTCTCCCGAAATAATAACAAACATAATAATAAGCAATAATGATGATAACGCTGAAATTACATCACAGAACACATTTAGACACATACATGGGTTACTTTAACTTACAGTTAGGCTTTAAAATAAAATATTAAAAGGACCCCAATGGAAATAAGTCACCATGCCTGACTTTTTTTTTTGGGGGGGGGGGATATTCTAGATAATTTACACATACATTCCTATGTATAATGACTGTAGTTAAGTGCACCTATACCTAAATAAACCTGCTTGTTAACTTCGTGGATGATCTTACCCAATATGTGGGTTGTCTGTGCCACCAGCAATACTGAAGCCCAGACCTTGGTTGCCTCTCTCCAGAGTGATGTCTTCACTCTCCCACTCGTCCTGGCCGCCATTTGTCTGCAGAAACAAAATACAATGCATTTTATAACAATAATAAAAATATTAATGCAACAGAAATTGCTAGCGTACTCAGCTCACACATTTTTAATAATAATAATATCTTTATTTCTACAAGTACATGTACAACTTATAAAGACCATAGCTGACAAATTTGTACAAATTAATGCTTCTTATTTTAAATACTCATTTGTACTTCATGTTGTAATTTGTTTACTGTATTTTTTACCACTGAATATATCATTGCTTAGTTAATCTTAAGTTAATTTTAAGCCTGTCCATAATGCTCTGCTTACAAAGCTTTTGGCATATACACTCAACCACTGTATTTCATTTGTACAACTATGTATCATGTCCAAATAATAATAAATAAATAATAATAAATAATGACATACTACACAGAATGCCGCTTGGCTTTCTATATATGTATAGCAGTATATTATTGATGTCAGCTATGGTCTGTACAAGTTGTACATGTACTTGTAGAATTATTATTATTATTTTATTTAGGTACAGGTACACACAAATAGTTACACCTGCAGTTTACCTGGAGAGGGTTTCCGGGGTCAACGCCCCCGAGGCCCGGTCTGAGACCAGGGCTCATGGTGGATCAGGGTCTGATCAACCAGGCTGTTACTGCTGGCCGCACGCAAGCTGACGTACGAACCACAGCCCGGTTGGTCAAGTACTGACTAACTGCCTGTCCAGTGCCTTCCTGAAGACAGGGGTCTATTGGTAATTCCCCTTATGTATGCTGGGAGGCAACTGAACAGTCTTGGCCCCTGACTGCTGTAAGTACTCGTGGCTGCGCTTCTTTTCAAGAATATGCATCTTGCCGCCTGACATTGTATTCTCCCCCAATGTTTTCCTGGTTGGCGCCCTTGCTATTTATCGGGGGTGTTATTCCTGCGGTTTTAAAGTACATGTGAAATTTCAATGATAAACCTACCAAAACTTGTGAAAGCGATTTAAACCCACAAGGGTCATTGTCTGCATTTTTTTTTTTTTTTAAATTGGGAAGAATTATCCTATGCAATTTACCCCCGTAAAATTTAGTTCAATATTTCGGTTGTGTAACTTATTTAATCTTTGTAACTAAATAATCTTAGTTACGATACTAAAGGATTAACCCACATGTCTATAAGTTGCATTTTATCTTTACCCAAATAAAAAATTACACTGTAGAATCTGTAATAAGACATAAAATTTTTATTCAATTAGTATGCCGTGGTTCAGAAGACAAATTTATCTTTGTTAAAATGGTTAAAATAATCTTGACTTTTTTTTTGGGGCATTATTTCCCGTAATTTCCACATAAAGTTACTAAATTTGTGTTAAACTGTCATACCTAAATAAACTTACTTGTAATTAAAATTCTAGTACAAAATACTTTATCCTGAATTATTATGGGGTTTCATAAATGTTTAAATATACAGCTTAATGCAGTATTTAAATTGCTTTTTAAAATAAATATGATTTTAAAAAAGTAATAAACTAAAAAAACATATTGATTCAAAAAAACTACTTTTTTAGATTTCCACATTGGTAATGCATTTATATATAATTTTTTTATTTTCAATCTGTAATGACAAATTGCTCACATACTTGGTAAAATTAATTCTAAATGTTTCACACACATTTCTTAATTTAGACAAAATTTTATTCAATAAAAAATGTTCTGAAACATTAATGCAAAACTATATTAAATTGTCTTTTATAAAAAAAATCCATTCCAGAAGTCTTTACAACAAGTAAAAAAAAAAGCAAAACATTTCCAAAATAACCTACTTTATTTAAGATTTCAATTCCGGCTAATGCATTTTATATATATTTTTTTTTTTTTTTGCAGATCATGAAATGTAAAAATTTGTCTAAATAAACTGTGATGGTAAAGGTGACAATATTCTCAAGACTGTTGCAGCTCAGTTGATTCTTTTAACCTCTGTAGCACTCAAAAATAATATATCTGTGCTTAAGGAGACAGGAGAGAAAATTGAAGAAAAACATTAAAAAATATAGTTACATAAAAAAATAAAGAGCCTGACTCTCCTTAGCAAGAGTACTTACAGCTCTCTCATATACGATATAGGCAATGCTTTCATTATTGTCATCGTAGCAAGTCCGGGAGGCGTTGGAGGCCGACCTCACGGGGGAGGGTTTCCTCGACCTCCTGGGAGTACGAGTCCTCCTATTTCCCGTCTTCTCGTCGCTCGGATAAGACTTCCTCTTCTCCTTATCTCTCTTCCCTCTCCTGCTAGTCTCTCGTGTGTCTCTCACTCTTCTCAGCTCCCCGTTTTCCTTCGTCCTCCTCGCTGCTTCCTGAGGTTCGATGCCTCGCTTCGAGTATACGTACTCCTTCAGATGCTGTTCCTCGTCGTCTTTGCTTCGCCTCCTCCTCTCCTCGCTCTCCCTTACTTGGATTACACTAGAAATTCTGGTCTCCTTCCGCAGCTCGTTTTTGCTATTTTTCTCTCTCGTGATCTGTTTCTTTTCCCATTTTTCATCACCGCTTCCAGATTTCTTCCCGTTTTGTCGGAAGGATACTTCGACGTGTTTTCTCCCGTCATCTCGATCGTCCAGGTCTCTATCGAAGGACTTACTTCGTCTTTGAATACCAAACATGACTCATAAAGGTCCAAAAAGTTATTCACTTTTAAAAACAGCTGATTATAAATGTAGATTTCGGACCAAGAAAATAAGATACTTCCTGCAGCAGTGGTGTAAGTAACGTCTGTAGCTACTGACTGTTTTAGAGAAAATGTCATTGATAATTAAGCTCTCCTTTACTTCCTCAGTAGGTTGATTATTATAATATCAGAACACATTTTCAACAATGTTTATGGATCTTTCATAAATTACGAGCCACAGAGTTGACACTACACACTCAGTGCATTCCTTACTATCATTAATAATGTGACATTAACGGATAACTAAAGAAATAATTCTCTCTCTCTCTCTCTCTCTCTCCTCACACACAATTCTGTTCCATTTTTTAACCCGCTCGTTTAAGAGCCACACCCACATAATTGATAACTGTCACAATGCTCACACCACAATTATGATGAACATACCCACCACAACAACCATGATAACCACATTAAAAAATGCAACACCGGCCATTTCCCACAAAGGAAGGGTGACTCAAAGAAGGAGACACATTTCTCCATCATTCATACAACAGTTGTTTTCTCAGAAGAGTACGGACATAACAATGCAACTGACCATTCGAACCGCAATTTCCTCACCCATCCCACCTGTAGCACTCAAACTTCGTATACATAAAAACAATCTACGAAAAAAACTACAGATGTCTGGGCACAAACAAGTCTGTTTATGGTTAGCTTTTATTCGGAATAAACCAAAGTCATTCCGAATTCTGAAAAAAAAATATCCAACATATTTTAAAATGCAAATACATTATTACCTTCAATGACTTTTGACAATATCTTCCATAAATATTATTCACGAATCTATACAAGAAGTATTTTGCGTCGTTGCATTGAAATCTTATGTCTATAATTTAAAAGTCATTGACTGGAGTTATGCTTGATTCAGCATTATTTCTGTCCAAATCATAACTATAAATGCTTAAATTACGTCACCTCTCAATCTTACCATTACAAAACTGAACATGTTCAGCTCGTGGGAATAAGACACAAGGTTCAACCAAAATATTAATTGAAGGTAACACTTCGCCAACTGTGGCCTTATCAGTCATTAGGATTGATAAGGTCATATGAGGCGAACGTCTTATTTAATAAACGTCCTAATGTTGCATGTGTGTATTTATATACCTGGAGTACACATGGAGAGCGTCTCGGGGGTCAACGCCCCCGCGGCCCAGTCTGCGGATCAGTCTGTGGATCAGGGCTTGTGCATACTATATGTAGTGCGTCTAAATGGGGGTCTCAAAAACTTTATACCATAAAATATAAGAAATATTGCCGAAACAAGTTAGACGTTGTTAAGAGGAACCTGGGTCACTACCTGCTGAAAACACTTGCCCAGACAGATGGCTCTGTGCGCCGCTAACAGCAATAACCTCAGTGACCAGGTAAGTCACGAAGGAAGCCTGGCATCAGGCCAGGGCTGCGAGGGTAAACCCAAGAAACCGGTTCCAGACATCCTCAAGGCACTCTCCAGATGGTCAATATCCTTCACTAAATAGTGACCAAAACTGCACGTAATATTCTAGAATGGGACCTTAAACCACGCCTTTCTCGAGTCCTGACTTGACTTATTTACAATTTCTTTAACTACTTCAATACACTTATTGTTGCCAGCTCCTGGTTCCAGTGATCATCGTCAGTGTAGCTGATTCTTATTTCTTACACCAGAACGCCTAAACCGAGAAATATTAGAGGAATAAGAATTATTACGAAACAAGAGAAAAGTAGAGGTTTGTTAACGGAACTAAATAAAGTTTGTGAGTTTACTATACAGAAGTGATGAGCAATACTGCCAGAGTACAGATGTTTCAGCCCAGGATGGGACGAAATGTTGTCTAAAGTTTCCTCACTGTGATTATGAACTGACAGTGATCTGTTCCCGCATGTTATTGTGATTGCTATCATTCTGGGATCATTCTTTTCGTGAGTTTATAGTAACTACTGTCGCTAAGGTGTATGGTACAACATAATTTCTAGGAAGACATTTATTTCCCATTTAAAAATCGGCGACATTTGCAATTTTCCATTCTAACGGAATTATTCCTGTTTGAGAGAGAGATTTGTTAACGTCAGAAGATAATTACAAGTCAGCTCCTTTACACTGCGTAATTTATTGCCGTAAAAAAAATATTAACACCTGTCATACCTATTGGATAATTATGATAATTACAACTACCAAAAAAAAAAAAGGATAGCTACCCACACAAACAAAGCCACAACCCAACCAAGACAATCATGCAACCATGACCCCACCACAACGGCGAAAACTACACCACAATCTACCATGATAACCAGAAATGGTAGAAATTGTCATTCCATCCCCCCCCCCAG